GGAACAGACAGAATTGTGATTTCCAACTGTAAAGTGATCAGTTTCAATGTAGTAACCACTACATTATAACTTGAATGTTTTAATTCATTTTGTTGTTGCAGTATGACAAAGATTCTTAAGTGTGCTGCTAATGAGGATGTTGTAACAATGAAAGCACAGGACAATGCTGACACTGTTACCTTTGTTTTTGAGTCCCCAAACCAAGAGAAAGTCTCAGATTATGAAATGAAACTGATGAATCTAGACCAGGAACATCTTGGGATTCCAGTAAGTTCTTTTTTTTTCTCCCCCCCCCCTTTTACATTATGCTATGACTTGTTTATAAATTAAAAGTTTCTATCAGTCTTAATTTGGTATCACTCTTGTTTTTACTTTTAGGAGACAGAGTATGCATGTGTTGTTCGTCTTCCTGCTGGGGAGTTTGCCAGAATCTGCCGAGATCTGAGTCAGTTTGGTGAATCTGTTGTTATTTCTTGCACTAAGGAAGGAGTTAAATTCTCTTCTGCTGGTGACATTGGTTCAGGTACATAATGTGTTGAATGAATAGAATTTATGAAGATTATGACCAGACATGCTGAGTTGAATGTGCAGGCTGGCACAAATTTTCTGTCAATTTAGGATGGAAATAGCATTCACAGAAATTTATTTGTCAACACTGAAATTGTCACCTACACCTTGAAATTAGAATTACACTTCAAAAATTTGAAAATCATACATAATAATATGCAAAGGTTCAAAACTATCAAAATAATATGCAAGAAGTTCTAAACACCATGCCACCCAGGTTAGTGTCGGTCTGGCCATGTATATGTTGATACATTACAATTAATCTGACAACTTAATTTAAAATTTATGGATACCTAATTCTGATGGTACGTAGTCAACAAAATGTATAATTCCTACTGGTGGCGTGAATGTGAATGAATCAGAAACCGTAGGTGTTATGCTATTTACCTGAATAATATGGTGCTTTTGTCTCAAAACTTAAATTCATGGAAAGATATATTCCATTTCAAATGCTGAGTACAGTTAAATACCAGTCAGTGTTTAATATACTTGAAAAATAATGTATATAGTTAAGCTAGTTATAGCTGGTTGTACTATGGATAACAGCAGTGCTCATAATGTTGAGTAATTTATAATGCTGGTGATGTAAACATTTACTGATTCTAATGAAATGTTTTCCTTTGTGCATGATTTAAAACTGACTCTTTCAGATTGCTAAATTAGGGCAAAATTATTCTTAGGTTTGGGTAAGTACAGTTTATAAATTCTGCCACTGTTGTACAGCAAACATCAAATTAGCCCAGACAAGCAATGTTGATAAAGAAGAACTTGCAGTCACCGTTGAAATGCAAGAGCCTGTCACACTGACCTTTGCATCACGATACCTGAATTCATTCACCAAGGCAACATCTCTTTCTAATGTGGTAAGCATTTGTGCCTGCTGTCTTTTTCATCAACGTATTGTTTGCGTCATGATGCTCATGTAATATTTCATTTCTTGCTCGAAGCTATTTTAGGATTCATTGACAAGTAGATTCATATGAAGAATGTAATGTGTACCCATTATAGTAAAATAATAATTGACAGCTAGATAACTCAGATTGCCTAATTTTCCACTTAGGCAGATAGTTTTACAGTACATGACTGTAATCTTGAGACTTGCAAGGAATGCAGGAAGTCCAAAGCATTAAAGGCTGATGCTATCTTTCCTCCTTCACCCTGCAAGTTTCAAGATTACAGCCAAGGACTATACATGCTTCATAATGTGCATAATTTGAAAGTTGGTTGATATGAAATTCAGTCATCAGTAATCTTTAGGTATTAGAACTTTGTTGATTTAGTAAAAATATCAGTAATTCATATTCATCTTGAGGCCTTTGCTAGGACTGTGGTTTGTGCTGTAGAATGTGAATGAATTTCTCTGCAGTTTGGAAGGCGGTCGGCATATAACATGTTGAATAATTCAACTTCTTTTTCTTCTAGGTTCAGCTGTCAATGTCACCTGATGTTCCTTTGGTAGTGGAGTATAGAATTGGGGAAATCGGACACATTCGTTATTACCTTGCTCCCAAAATTGAAGATGAGGATAACAATTGAATTTTCCATTCTTGTATTATAATTAGCATATTCTCATTCCATGGAAAGTGTTTGTTTTTTTGAATGGAGCTGAACAGATTGTTCACTTCTGTGGTTTTTTGCTTTAACAAAGAAATTGCAACCATTATACATTAAATAGGTGTACTGCAGTTCTCTGCATCCTAGTTCACTGCATATTTATATTCATATGGTGAAGAATGGTGAATATTTCATATAATGTGTGTCAAATCATATAGAGAATTTCATCAGTCACAACTCACTGACAAAAATAAACGACCATCTGATATCATAACAATGTAATTACTGTTTGAAGATATCCGTCTTCTGGGTTATTGCGCTGTGTAGTCTGGTCGATGTTAACCAATGTTTTATTGCTAAAAGTGTACTTTCCTAAATTCAAACTGCAGTCTGCTTCTTATTAATCTCACAGGGAAGGGAAAAAAAAGGCTGTATGAAAGGCCTTACATGAACACTTACAGTTTCTATTATTGAGAGTGTTGGTTTATTTTTGTTTGCTTTGCCTGTTGAAAAGTGTGTAGTGTTTTTCACAAGGACAGAATATTCAGTATTTTTACAACACATTACAAAACCAACATTGTTAGTGAATAAAACTGCATTGTTTATTTGAAGTGTGTGATTTTTATACATGCTTGAAGATTAATAATGAAATATGGGTAGTAAATTAATTTATTACATCATCTTTCCAGTCATACTTCTCTAATCATGGTAGCACAATTATGTTTCTAAATTGAATTGTGGTGTTTCATTCACATTCTTTGCAATAAATACAGCAGTTTGCAAAGATGAATTTGAAGTCATCACAAATATTAACATTTTGGTTCTGTAAAGACAAAAACCAAGTAAATTGGTTAGTTATATTTATATTTTCCCTGTTTACTAAAAATTGATTGCTCAGAATTATTTCTTTGCATTTCACTTTGTAGTTACTCAATGTAACAATATTCTGTTCCAGTATACATTTACAAGTACAGATTTTGTAATGACAACACACATACCTGAATAAAAATTATGTTTATTACTTCATTTACAAACTTGTTGTTGAAACAAGGCAATAAAAATGGCTGAATTATATAAGGAATTCATATTATGAAATACTGATGATAAATACTTATTTGACTGTGAGACACCTATAGTCTGCACTGTACTGATTTCTGAACATTCGTTTTTATAAATGGATTCATATGAAATTTTAGGTATGATTATGTGCTGTAAAGTTCATTTGACCATCTTGATGTAATGACCTGAACAGTAGAAGTTTGTAAAAGCAAATATACAAGTTTGATCTGTAGCAAGTTAGTCTCTCTTATAAACATATTATCCTTAAAACTCCTTCATATGATTGAGATGTAAGACCAGTTTCAAATCCCTGTAAAGCATATTAATACACTTATGGTTAAACATTTACCTGTTGTGTTAAGGTCATCATATTGTGGCACAGATTAGTACACCACAAGTTTAAAATCTATGGCAGGGGTATTTTAGCATGCTAATGTTATTTAATATTAAGGAATATGAACATACAAGTGCCCACCCTTAATTTTGGGTGAATATAGGCAGAAACTTTTTCTGTTAAGATTTCCCTTTTAAGTTTGGAACAATATTTTCTTCAGCATAGGACTTTGAACTGTATGTTATCATATGCCCAAAACTTATGCATTACAACAAATTGTCACTTCATTATTGAAGCACTTAATGTTGGTATGTGATATAATATGCTTGCTGATGTAACTCTCTGTTCTAAAGTAATTTATATTGAGCTTCTGGATTACCTTGTCCATACATACCTGTAATCTTTTGATTGGTACTGTGCTTGGCCTGCTGTGCAAATTGAATTTTACTGTTTTAAAAATAGATATGTAGATTATATAAGCAGTGTACATTTTAGGACACTGACAAACATGCTTGACAAATGATACAGAACCTGATCCAACAGTGTTGGCCAAACCTTGTTGCAAGTGAGTTTTATATAAACTGAATTTTAGTGTGATATAATAGGATTTTAATGTCATCCCTCTCATGCAGCGGTTCTCGGCCTTTTCCAGAACTGGGGTCCCATTCACCCCTTGTTATTAACTTATGGACTGCAAGTTTGTAAATGAAGGGATTTTGTTGAAATTCCATTAGTTTATTAAAAAGAATGCTACCACTAAGTATCAGCTTTAATTAATTCTATGATTCACATCCATCCCTCCATATGTTCATCAGTATGACACATCAGTTCTTGATCTGACATTCTTAATTGAGGCCTCAGCTAAAAGTTTCTCATAGCAATAGGTGTTGCCAAATACTGGTGATATTAAAAAAAACATGTTTTCTGATATAACTATTTTTCACCATACAGGTTGACAGTATAAAGACAATATATGAGCCACATAAAACATACTGGAAGGTTGCAGGTTGTGAAACCTATTCTAATACATATGTATGGCAATGTATCATGAGAAGTATGGGAATTGTGTCACTGTGAGTAACAATTTGGTTTTAACATAGCAGATATCTAAAAACAATTTAACTAGATTTTCTGTTACTTTCGCCATAACACTTGCACATACAATATATATTTAGCTTCAGATGATTCCAATAGAAGGTACTGCTGTAAGAGTCTGTTTTCAGTATTCATAAAGTTTCAGGAAAAAGACATCTCAAAATCAAATAAACAGTATCTAACATAAACTACAAGCACCAAGTATGATCAATATAGTACTTGTTCTCACATTCAGACAATACTAATAATAAAAAGAATTATAGGCCTCCTATTATTCAAGTTGTTTCCAGTAAGACTTGAGATGTTAATATAAGCAAAGTCCATACAAATGTGATCAAGAGTTTATGTATAGTATATTTATATTCCAATGCATATGTAGATTTACTGTCAAAGAGATGTTTCTCCACATAATTCTAGTGACTAGATTTATCAGTTTATATTATTTTTTGTACATGTAGCTCATACTTGACCTACTTCAGTGCCTAGTTATGACTACATTTATCGAACATCTCATAGTATAGGTACCTTTTACCTCAACATTAAGGTGGAGGCAGAGTCATCCTATGAAACATATATCCTTGTAAGCCAAACAATGGACCAATGTCCACATAACATACTGCCCATGACAGACTATCATGACTGAAAGCTGTACCAAAGTACACTGGATTGATCTTCACAGTTTATTCAATTTGCTTACTGACTTCTGTTTTCCAGTTTTTGTACAGTTTTATGTACTGTAAAAGGTGAACATATTAAGACTTGGGCAACAAAGGTAAGGATTCATACTCAAACTGTTTTGCCCTGATACATATTGAATTGGTCTGGTCGGGTCCCAGAGTTGTGGACGTGGTGGTTGTGAAAAAGAAAAATGTCTGCCCCTGCTAGGAATTGAACCTTTGTCATTCAGCATGTAGCACTATATTATTGAGCTATCTTATTCTATTTAGGTCCTATATAGGAACAGAACTCTACCACATAAATATGAACCTGTATCTTAATGATGCAGAGTAATCAGTATTAAAAAGTACTACTGAAAAACAGTATTCTGGATTTTTTGTTTCACTGATTATTATTGAATTATAATATGCAAGGATATGTAATATGGATTGGACACTGAATACAGAATTAACATGTAAAAGATTACAATGCTGGTAATCTGAAATATGATAATTTTAGTTTGTAGCAACTGCTGTGATTTCTGAAGATGGTCTAAAATTGACCAAAACATGTGGTGAAGTGGAATATAATTCTCTTTACTGCATAATTCTCCCTCTCCCATGGAATTTTAAGATATGAAACTGTTACTGATCATACAGAATAAACTACTATCTGAAGTTTCCAGCAGATAACATCAATAAAGTACTTTTGGTTTCACAAATTTTAATAAAACTGATTACAGTATCTGGTGTCAAAGATTAGATATATCTGCACTGCACAGTTACATTGGCCATAGCAACTTATGGATGAAAGTTGCCACCATCTGTAATGTTGAAATGAAAGTTATGTTAATAACATTAACTTCTTTAAAATTAAATGCCAATTCCAATGTACACACTGTCCTGAGAATTGAGGTCAAGAGGCATAAAGCAGTTTTACATATATGTCACTTGTTTGTGCTAATCCATTTTCTTATCAATGGGATTCTTTTCAGTATTTTAATAACTGTTTCAATATTAAATATCTTGTCTTAGCATGAAGTTAACCAATTTAATAATGGTGTTTTTGTGTGAGAAATAACTGCACTGTGTTACCATCCACTGGAAATTTTATGTCAATTTCTCTAAAAAAGGAGTAGGCCTACCAGTTTCTCTGACAATAGAAATACATTATGACAAACCAGGTTTATTCAGTATCTGACATACTTGTTACATCCTCATTTTTAACAAACAAAATGGCACAAAAGTGTGGTAATTACACTGCAAATACAGTACTATCTACTGAGTTACCATGCTCAGCAATTAATTTTCTTTGATATCAACATGTATTTTTTTGTTCCAAAAACCATAGTACAATGTAAGTATGTACTTTCATTTGGTATAATGTACTGAAGAATATGACTTTACCTGCTTTACTCTTTTCATGGTCTGGCCATACATGGATTTTAGCCTAATTTCCTTGTGCATCCTTTGCACCATGTGTATAAACTGCACGTATATGAGGGAAATCATGCCTATGCATCTGTATGTTTCAACAAGTGTAACCAAATATGATCAAGTGGTTAACACTCCTGCTTCATATTTGGGAGGTCCTGGGTTCAAATCTTGGCCCAGAGACCAACTATGTTGACTGGGTTTTTTCATGGTTTTCCTCAGTTCTTCCAGGCGAATGCTGAGATAGTACCTTAAATTAGGCCAAGACCACATCCTTTCCAATTCATCATCATCCTCTCATTCGATGCTATAGAGTCTGAGCTACTGAAAAAGCATCATTAAATAAACTACAAATAAATATAAGTGTAAAATTATAATTTTCTAACGATGGTACATATTTATTTTATAAATACTTCTATCAACACAGTAAGATAAATTACAACATGCATATGTTGCATTTATTGACTAGTTCATAATATAGAGATTTAGAGTTAAGGCTCTATATCAAACTATGCTATACTATTTCCTTGTTCATGCTTTTCAGAGGTAGTAATGGTAGAAACTACATAAGTTTTGGTTGCAGGTTGCTCCAGTTTCTTTTTTGGAAACTATTAAGAACAGCTATAAGCATTCAAAATGCCAAGGTGCAAAGAATGCATCTGGAATCTGTATGGACTGCAGTTTTCCAACATATATATACACACACACACACACACATATATATATATATATATAAATAAGGAAGGCAGGCTCACAGTATCGTCATGTCAGTTGTATGTGTGTGTGTGTGTATTCCCCCTAATAAGTTCTGAACAAAATTACTAATATAAAGTTCTCGCTAGCCTTACCATACAGACTGAAGCTTTGAAAGAAAGTAAGCACTGTAATATCTTCACACAACTTTGTTTTTTGAATTTTAACTGACATCTCGAAGTATTCGAACTGCAAGGAGTTGGAAATTAAAAGTTAGTTAAAATGTTAATCTTATGAAGTTGTTGCAATCTGATACAATTTGTATTGGGCATAAATCCTTTCTTGAAATAGCCTACTAGGTTAGAGTGGGATCTGAATGCTGAGTGTGCCAGGGGAAGGGTTTGCCGCTTCCTGGCTCTATCTAATGACACTCACTCAACCGTGGAAGGGCTGACTATGCGGTCATGTAATGTGCGTAAATGACGCAACAAATTGCTTTTAACATTGAAACCTTTGCCACACACTGCACAAACATAAGGTTTCTCTCCTGTGTGTGTGCGCCGATGGATCAACATTGAAGCATGAGATGGGAATGTCTTGCTACATATCTGGCAACGTTTACGGCCACCTCGCCGCAACCTAGAAGCATGTGCTGAAGAGTTGTTGCTGATTGCTAACTGTTCTTCAGTATGAGAGGTCTGAATGTGACGTACCCAATCTGCAGGTCTGGTAAAAACTTGCTGACATAATTCGCATCGCAGAGGTGGAAATTCTGCATATGCCTGCTGGTTAATACTGCTTCCATTCTCCAGATCCTGAAGCATTTGTTGTAAAACAACATATCATAAATACATACATAAATTATCTCAAATTCTTAAATCATACAGTGGTGCTATTTTTACAGAAGAAATTTGGCACACCATAGCATCAAGCAGTAGAGAACATCCTATTAGCCACAGTCAATAACAAGGCTATCAGTTGAATTAGAGATGAATAATCCAATGTATTCTGAATCACAGCATTTGCAATGAACATTATATGTGGGTAATTTTAAGCAGTGACTATGATTACTAATATTGATACATTAACAGCTAGCTCTGCAGTCCTTCAAGGTGAAGAAAGGAAGTGTTAATAAAAGGAGGTTTTGGAAGATGTCTTTTCTTAAACATCTATTCCCAGCCAGATAACCGACAAAAAATTACCCGAGATTGTCTCCCTGCACGTCTCCCACGCTGCTGCTGCTGCTGGTTCTCGGGATGGGCCTCAATATGCCGTACCCATTCAGCAGGTGTAGTGAACATTTTCTGGCAGAGATCACAACTAAGAGGAGAATATAGTGTCCCTTCATCATCATCGTCATCATCATCATCATCATCATCACCAGCTGTAGTGTGGAAGATTTCCTGCAAAAGTTGATTAGACTCCAGCATCAAACAGAAGTTGGTACAGCAAAATGTTGTGCATTGAATTAATTCCTGTTTGGCATGGGATTTCAAAGGAAGGTGATGGTGTGATGCATTTTTCTTGAAGTTGAATGGGAGATGAGCATAAATTTTTATAACCTTTGTTTTATGAAAGGATGACTGGTTTCTTTCACCTATCACCTTGCTGCTCTTCATTCTCAGCACAGTCTATTAGTCATTCATTCTGTTCGTTTGAACAGTGGGCCATGTTTCAACTTTGAACTACTTTGTGTCAGATCAACAATAACTTATTTTTTAATAAAGCACAACTATATGAGTTGGAGGTGAAACTCAGATATAATTCTGAGTATGGCAGTACTAGGGGGTTAAAGAGGTAGGAGAGGAGAAATCAGTCTTCAGTTTTCTCATAATGAAATGAGATGCCATTATTAAAAGTTCATGAAAATAAGTTTGGGTTGACAGAATTAAAAAAAAATGTCAGAATTCATGCTCAGCAACAACTAAATGCACTTCTGCATCCCTGCTTTGACAAAGTATACTTAAATTCAGTAACCATATTACTGAATGATTATAACATATAGATACTGTAAAAAGTAACTAAAATGACATATCAATACAATTTTCTCTCCAGAATACAACTGTCACTCTTTTTGGCCAAATGGATTTCTAAAACTCCTGACAGTAGGACTTCAGAAATAATATATACAACGCTCTAGATATACTCATGAAATCTAAGCCACTTAAGAAATCAGCCTACCTGTATGCCCAGGATCATGCAAGCACTTTTATATTCACTGCTGATTACCATTTATTAGACCATGATGAGTGTAATATTGGAGCCCTGAATACAGGTAAAATATATTGATTCCTATTTCTTAAATACTTACAGGCTTAATTGTCATCTCAGTATGCATCTGATTGTCACTATCATGTGTCACTGCCAAGGGCATTTCTATTTCAGTATCCTCCCATTCAATTGGTTCTTGCTTAACCAATAGTTGCATAGGATCTAGTTCTATTCTGTTTCCAGTGTTGTGCTTTTCAGAAAAAGTTTCTAAAGCAGTTGTAACCTTTGAGATTCCACTCCTTTCTGCACTTGAATCACTTTTCTCCATAACATTATTTTTGCAGTTTTCACCATTAATTTGACCAATTACTTCGTTCTCAGTTAGTGTACTATCTACCTTTTCCTGACTTGATTCACCACTTTTTCCCTGTCCTTTGTTTGGTTCATCACAAGATACATTATTTGTACGTTGATTACTAGGTTTTGTTATGCTAGTGTTATCATTCTTCACATGTTTTGAATTTTTATCTCTGCTATTTGTGCACGATCCAGCCTTTCTGTTACTTGCTTCACTAACAATTTCATTTCTCCTACAGTTCTGCTGCTCAGTGTCAGATGATCTTCTGTTCTTTTCCTGCATATTTTGGTTTCCATGGTTCCCTTTCTCTTTACAAAGTCCTCTAATCCCCAAAATATGTGCAGCCCTCAAAATTCCATCCAGCTGGCCATAGCTAACGGTTGCTTCTCCGCTGTACATATATTCAATAAGGATCCTCAGAATACGATAACTGATTTCAGATGGCAAAATTACAACAAGAGGAAGGTGACTGTTTGTACCCGGATAAACCGCATGAAGAAGCTGTTTTATATATGAACTGCATGCTGATAAAACAAAGCGATGAGCAGCAATTTGCCGGCCATCTACTGTAGCAAGGGTTATGTCTGTAAATGATTCTGACTGGAGTAATGTAGAGATAGATGTGTGAAGATGGGCTCCATAGCTATGCCATTTTAACTGGAAGTTCTCTGCTACAGCAATTGCCATACTTGAGTCCTAAAGGCAGAAAAAAATTACTACATAAATATGTCACTTAAATACATATGTAAATTAATTAAATGCGTAAATAAACCACACCCTTCATTCAACAGATACAAAGAATATAACATCCCATAGTTCGTGGCACAAGCCAAGGATGTGGTACACACGTCACAGTACGAATACAAACACTTGGCACAAATAAAAGTCATTGTTGTTAAGGTTATTTACAGTATTTAATAATTTTAAACTGAATAAATTCTTCTATAGAGTAGGAGTAAGGTACAATACAATTGCAAAAATAGTGAAATCCACGAATTATACAAGCCGTACAAGGTAAGGTTATAACTATTTAGTACTACACATATGAAAGATTTATAACAATAATAAATTACCCTGAACCCACCCTTTATCAACAGAGAACTCTTCGAAACTGTCAAACACGCTGTCCTTGCGGGAATGAAAAATCGATCATTGGTGCGCATTATCGATTTTCAAATAGAACAACCAATCATACGCTTTCATTATCATCGATCGGTATTGGTTGTTTGTAGCAGAAGATGTTAGTCTCATGTATCATTCACGGAAGATGGGCATATGAGACATTGGGAAAATATGCTACAATACTATCCATTTTCATTATTAAATAAGCTGTTATATGAAAGTAACATTGTAATACTGTGCAAAATAAGTCATATACACTTTACCCGCATAGCACATGACGTTTGTCAATGGTATTTGTAGAGAAATGTTGATTCTGAACACGCATGAGTAGAGTTACAAGGCACAGTGGTGTGGCGTGCAAGCACATTTGAAAAATGACACTTTTCTTGTAAATAAGCAGAAAGTACTAAAGTTAAATAAAGTGCATCTGGCTGCTTGACATTATGAATGCTAAATGAACGATGGAAGGTAACTTTAAAACAATTAAAGCATACAAACAACTCAATCTGTGGTTATGCTTTTATTGATTTTCATTGTTCAGTAGAATACGAATTAACCTCAAAATTAATTATGTGTAAAATCAGCAATGTTTATAATCAGACGATTGAACGGCGCAACAATCCGAAGTTAAACCCCGTTGAAATACAAACATTGTGAATCCGTGCTGTTTTCTACATTTTAAGAAACTATGGTTTCATTCTTTCAGATAAGTAAAGTGGGCATTGTTATTTAAAGGGGTGTTGTGCGTATTTCTAGCACTGTACTTGCATGTTCTGCTGTCAGGTACATAAATGGATGGACAAATAGGGAGATAGACTGTCAGAAGCAGGGTGTAGGAGTAGTCCGAGAACAACACATCATATTCCAATTTCCACATATACAACATAGTTACAGAAGTAATATTTGAGGTTCTTATGGTGGTATGAAGATGACTATCTTCTGGGTTGCAATGCCATGTAGTCTGGTAGAAGTTTATTGATGTTTCAGAGGTACTAGGGTGCCTGATGATAGAGGCAGCAAATACATCTTAAACATCAGTAAACTTCTACCAGACAACATGATGTTGCATCCCAGAAGACAACCATCTTAACAGTTACAGAACATTTTCCAAGAACAAAATACACTACAGTGGAATATGTCTTACACACTTTGACATTATTTTCAGTTGCATGTCTGTTATACTTTATATTTAGAGATAGCCACGACTTCACTTCACTCAAGACTGTAAAAAGGTGTTATAAATAAAAAAGTAAGATGACGCTAGCTCTGTGTAAAGTGACTGGCTATGGGTTGGATAATGGGTTTAACTCCTGAAGCCATCACTACTAGACCAGCTTTGGAAACCACCTAGCTTGCATCTTATTCAGTGAATACCAGGGTTCTTTTCCTGGGATAAAGTAGTCAGTATATAAAGTTGACCACTTAGTCTATCAAATGGGGCCTAGAATATGTGGACCTTTTTCTTGATTCCCCTTCTACACTATTGTGGCTTGGTAGTTGAGCACAAGGAAATGTTTACTTTTGCAACATAGGCAGAATAATGAGGATTTGTTATCTCCGTTTATAATGTTCCAGCTTCAACAAAAACAGATGATCTTCTCATATTAATGGAAGGCTTGGTAGTGGCAGTGGAAAATAAGTCAGATGATATATCAGACATACTGGATTCTCTTGTCTCTCAGATACAGGTTTCTGGAAGCAGTAAGTATAGTTTATTTTACAGTAAAATCTCATTACATCATAATATATTTTAATGCATATTTCAGACATATATAATTTATTAACAGAAGCACAAAACTATAGAATTCTTTCTGTTTTTAAGCACTTTTGAACTGGTTTGGCCAATCATGTTACACATTTTACTTTACAGGATAATAAACTTTGTGACTTCTGTGGGGATTTCTGATCATACCACACGTGGAATTTGGTGGTATTTGGTTTAGTGACAGCAGAAAATATACATTTAGTAGAAAAGTGGTGAAGCCCTTTTTACCTGTTTAAAAATTTTGCAGATTTTATATCTAAACCAGGAATTGCAGGAATACTGTCTAAAGTAGTCCATGAAAAAATGTAATCTGGCCTTTATAATTCTCCATATGCTGTTAATAATGTGGTCTTTATCAAATTTCCTGTTTTAATTTTTTTTTACCTACAATTAGGTGTAAGAGATTCATGGTTTAATACATGCCTCAACATCTTCAGAACATCGGACTGAACGTTGAGAGTTTTGTCTGAACTTTTTATTAATAGTGTTATTTTTATGTATTTTGATACAATACTGTAACACATATTCAGTCAGTGGGAATTATTAGTAATAATAATGATTTTAAATTACAGGTTTTTTTTGGTGTTCTCAGGCTGTGTTCAGTTAATAACCCTATCTGGGTGGAATATGTCTTACACACTTTGACATTATTTTCAGTTGCATGTCTGTTATACTTTATATTTAGAGATAGCCACGACTTCACTTCACTCAAGACTGTAAAAAGGTGTTATAAATAAAAAAGTAAGATGACGCTAGCTCTGTGTAAAGTGACTGGCTATGGGTTGGATAATGGGTTTAACTCCTGAAGCCATCACTACTAGACCAGCTTTGGAAACCACCTAGCTTGCATCTTATTCAGTGAATACCAGGGTTCTTTTCCTGGGATAAAGTAGTCAGTATATAAAGTTGACCACTTAGTCTATCAAATGGGGCCTAGAATATGTGGACCTTTTTCTTGATTCCCCTTCTACACTATTGTGGCTTGGTAGTTGAGCACAAGGAAATGTTTACTTTTGCAACATAGGCAGAATAATGAGGATTTGTTATCTCCGTTTATAATGTTCCAGCTTCAACAAAAACAGATGATCTTCTCATATTAATGGAAGGCTTGGTAGTGGCAGTGGAAAATAAGTCAGATGATATATCAGACATACTGGATTCTCTTGTCTCTCAGATACAGGTTTCTGGAAGCAGTAAGTATAGTTTATTTTACAGTAAAATCTCATTACATCATAATATATTTTAATGCATATTTCAGACATATATAATTTATTAACAGAAGCACAAAACTATAGAATTCTTTCTGTTTTTAAGCACTTTTGAACTGGTTTGGCCAATCATGTTACACATTTTACTTTACAGGATAATAAACTTTGTGACTTCTGTGGGGATTTCTGATCATACCACACGTGGAATTTGGTGGTATTTGGTTTAGTGACAGCAGAAAATATACATTTAGTAGAAAAGTGGTGAAGCCCTTTTTACCTGTTTAAAAATTTTGCAGATTTTATATCTAAACCAGGAATTGCAGGAATACTGTCTAAAGTAGTCCATGAAAAAATGTAATCTGGCCTTTATAATTCTCCATATGCTGTTAATAATGTGGTCTTTATCAAATTTCCTGTTTTAATTTTTTTTTACCTACAATTAGGTGTAAGAGATTCATGGTTTAATACATGCCTCAACATCTTCAGAACATCGGACTGAACGTTGAGAGTTTTGTCTGAACTTTTTATTAATAGTGTTATTTTTATGTATTTTGATACAATACTGTAACACATATTCAGTCAGTGGGAATTATTAGTAATAATAATGATTTTAAATTACAGGTTTTTTTTGGTGTTCTCAGGCTGTGTTCAGTTAATAACCCTATCTGGCCCTTATCCCAATACAATTTAATTGCCTTCTTTGGACCTTTAATATCCATGTTGTTGTTTACTTTGTTAAGGATACAATAAATTAAGAATATAATTAGTGTGTGTTCTGAATCTTTTGTCAGATTGTGGAGACTGCAGTTCCTTTGTGACACAGCTGGAAACATTATTACAGTGGGAATCTAAAGCTACTGTAGCAAGAGCAGCACAGGTAGTGGCAGAATTAGCAAAGTCAGAATCTGGACGTGAAAACTATGGAAATATAGCAATTCTCAAGATACTAGTTGAACTTATAAAGACTAAGGAAGAGGATTTGGACATACTAACTCAAGTCTGTAGAGCTTTGGGGAATATATGTTATGATAATGGTAATCTCTTAAGTTGTTATTAATAGCAATATCTAATGAAACTTTACATACTATCATATTTTATTTTATTTTGTGTTATACTTTCCTAGTTTTGGCTATAATAGTCAACTTCAGTAATCTGATGTTTTCCAATCATGCTGTTCATTACACTGTAGTATATCATAATGTCTTTTATTGAAATTCACATTTTCAGATAAAGGTAGGAAATTTGTACTTGATACTGAGTGCTTGCCAGATTTATTGGGTGTCTTGGAACGGTCAGTTAATGAAACTGGTGAAAGGGGCAGAACACTTCGAAATGTTGCAGCTGGATTTCTTTTAAATTTACTTATTGGACAAGAAGACATTCAAGAAAAGGTAAGGAAATTGAATAAAGTTGATGAGATTTGGAAGGCAAAAATATGGGGTTCCAAACATGAACCTCAAGTGGTAGGGAGCATAAACATATTCAAGCTTTTATGCCATGCTTTTACTGTAGCAGTTTCATTATAAACAGTTTATTGCATATTACACAGTGTAATTTATAACTAAGTCTTTCTTGGAAAGCTGATTATTGTTCATATGATTAAGAAATACCCCATTTTATGGAACCCAGATTATCATTCATCGCCCCGATGACATCTACCATACTACACAGTGCAACAACCCAGAAGACAGAAATCCTCATATTTACAGCTGTGAAAACCTCAAATTATACATATAATTTACTTTGTTAATGAAAGCCTGTTATTGGACCCTGTTATGAGTGAACTGGATCCAGTAACAAATTATTAATAACTTTAGGCTGACATTTCTCAGATAGGATAGACTTTTAGTAGCATAGCTACAAACCTGGCTTTTTGCAAAGGACAGAGCTAAAAGGAGAGTAAGAAAATCTCTTGTGTCTAAACTACATATTTTACATTAATCTACCTAAGCTTACATTTTCAAGAATACCGAAGATGTAGCCTGATAATGGCCGTCTTTAATTTAATAACATTTAAAATACAAGATATGAGAGTTTTATTTGGAGGAGATCAGATTTGCAATGCAGATACAAAATAGTACTAGTATGTTGGTTACCACTTTAGCATCTAGGATGGTATGGTGACTGGTATTGTAATGGGTATTAGTATAGAACTAGTTTTTGCATCTAACAAGGGATTCTGTATAAAGATTTGTGCCTTTAATAAAATGTATTGTAAATGACTGATCATATTATCATCATGAACTATATTAAGTTTTACTTTGTAGGTTAAATATCTTTTTCTCTTCTCCATTGATGTGGATTTCTTTTCTTCTTCTTTGCCCTGTCTGAAATTACTTTGTCACTAATTTGTTGTGTTATTTTATTTAATAGACCAATTACATGTCTCAAAAACACTGTGCATTTGCATTTGTAACAGACATTAACCTTCTGTATGCAGCTATGAAAATAACAAGCCTGCATTCTAGAAGAATTGGAAATATTTGTCATTGCTACTAATTGACGAATTGAGATGGCCAATTTTGAAGCTTCCTTAACTCTGGGGTCATCATTATAGGTAGACAGAGACCATAATTGCAACAAATTAATATGCAAAGTTATCAGCATATGCAGTTTTCCCTAGAAACAGTATAGTTAATGTTTAGAAGGTAAGCTTTACAAATAGATGACTGAGTTATTCAGGTTATTGGATTAGAGAAAGCATGGCTAATTAAAACAGTAGGTTATTAAAAATAATATAATTAAGTATCCATAGATGATGGCTGTCTATTGGGTTTTAGCACCTAAGCAAAAGGCAGTGATCTTCATACTTAATACCATGAAAATCTCAAATCCTACTAAATATCTATAGGTTTTATATACCATAAAATCAAGTTTCCACCATTATTTTCACTGTGAGTGCTCTTGTGTGTGTTGTGGCCAGAGTATTCTTAAAGGAGAATAATTTAAATATGATTCCTTATACAGGCAATAGAGCTGGGTGTAACCAAATTGTTATGCAGTGTCTTGGAACTTGATGGAACAGTTCCAGAAGGGGAAGAAGCATCTACACATGTTCTGTTGATTCTTGGACTTCTCACTGACTCAGGTAATGTGGTTACCTAAGCCAGTGGTATTCTTTTCTTTTGATTGTAGTATATACAATTTTGCTATAAATGTATCAGCAGACTTAGCAAGTCCAGCCAGCTTGGATTTCTATCATGTCATTAAGTATACAAGGAGCTTAGAAAGCAACTGGCATTGGAAGTGTAGGTTTTTATTTCTGTGTATGTGTAATTTTTTGTTTCAAATCACTTAAAAAGCATTCAAAAGAACTCATTACAGATATTTTTAATTTTTTTTATTAACATGTGCAAACTATAAATTGTACAGCAAATATATGATACATTTAGGTGGGGTAAAGCTAATAACATTTGTATTATGTGGAAAGTGTTATCATTGTAATGTAAATTCTCTGCTGTGTGGGTGAATTAAATGTACATAACTTATGTGACTACAATGTCAGTGCCATAATGGCGGTTATAGTGGCACTTACGTGCACAAGTTGTGATTATACTTCAATTTGTGTGACTTCATTAAAAAATAACTGTCATGGTGTGGTGAAATATAAGATCACCTTTACTTTTAATCTTCATAACTGTAAGTACTTTGAAGAGAAATATGATAAAAATCTTCTGTTAGAAACAACCTCATGTGTATGACAGAGCTTGTTTTTCATTCTGTTTTTTCTATTTTAGTATTTTATATTTTTAGTGTCCCCTTGTGATTCATTATTGGACGAAAAATTGTGTCAGGTGACTGTCAGAGTATTAGGTGTGTCTTCATCCCCAGAAGTTAGTGAGCTATGTCTGGAACTCTTACATGGACAAGCTGAAAATGGTAAGTTTCTTTATTATGCTGTGAAAATCCCAATATTGTTTGCAGTGCGAATAATGCCAGGTGTGTATAAAGTCTTTCAGAGTTTTAGGAGGCTATGTTTTCTTAACAGTTTTATATATATGTTAAAGGACATAAACACTGAAATGAAGGTCAACTCAGAAAGTTTTGTGCCTTTTGCAAAGTACTGTGTTCCTATGCACATGTTCATGTAGCAGTACACCAGGTTATTTACATGCTTAGCAGCTGAGTGCAATGGACAGTCTGTAATTGAAAGCTGAATGCATTCTGTGGCTTATTGAATTCAGTTGTGTTGTCATTGTGCATTTATGTGAGTGTACCACAGAGACCACCTACGAGCAAGACAAAAAGTTCGAATACATTGGTACTATCCATCTCAGTCAATGCATAACACATGACCATACCACTGTATCCTTCTTTTCTCTTTTCTTGCTCCATGCTTGTGCTGTATATACAGTTTTGAATGTTGCTATAGGAATAACAGTTGCATTACCTGTTGTATTACAGAGAATGTTAAAAACCACTTGGCACATGCAGGCTTATGTGAGTTACTGGTTCAGCTGTTAGAGAAGCATAAACCTCTCGTAGATGATGATGAAACTAGAAACCTTATGAAGATGGCATGTGATCTGATTGTCCTCATTCTTACAGGTGGTAAGTAAAATCACTCAATGATATATCTCATTTTGTTCCCGTTTTTGATGGGCTAGTTTTCCAACATTTCAAAGGGCCTAGGTATCCCTGTTTTGAGTGCAAAATGAGTAAGCAGGGGCCTGTTGCTGATATTCATAATTCCTTGTCACAAAACAATCGGAATCTTTATGTTCTGAAGCTGGGGTCCTCAACATTTTTCAAAGCTGGAACCTTTACTAGTTTTCATCAATTTGTGGGCAGTGTGGTTATAAATTAAAACAATTTATTAAAATGCTGTGACAGTCTAGTGAGAATGCTGTTTAATTAGACCTTCTGTTGTAAACATATTACTCAATAACTTTCTTTAACAAAATCAGTTATTGGTGAGATATTTTACACTGATTTTGCTTGAGTAAGCCTTCTAGATCATTTTTAGTTTCTTTTGTTGCAATTCATCTACATCCTTCCAAATGTTAACATTGAGATATCCTAGTGTTTTACTTAAAGTAAAGCTGTCTCACTAAATGCCATGTAGGTACTTGGGTAGAGGGGAGGTATAGCTCTTACTCCATTCTTGACCTTGGCACTAGGTATGGGAGTGGTCAGTGTAATCCTGTGATACCCATTGGATAGGAGGCTGGATGAGCCCCAGAGCCAATCTGAAATTAGAGGCTAGAAGAAATATTCATTGTTCCTGCCAGGGATCAAACCATGGTTATCCAGCATGCTATCAGCATGCCACAATATAGAATTTTGACCCAAAAATAAATACAAAGTTAGGTACAAATAACCATGAAAGCCAGAATGCATACCAGAAGTATTTTGGCTGGTGGGGAAATTAATGTGATTGTAAGCTTAATGGCAAACTTGGTACTCTTATTTATAGATTTGTCTTAATTTTGGTGACTTATACACTTCTACATATTAAGTTCCTAGCAAATAAGTATATAAAGTTTCCTATAACCATAAGCATAAATTTGAATACATACTCTGTTTATTTGTCAGTATTTTTGCTCCTTCCTCTTTCCTTCCCTTACAGTTAACATCTTACAAAGCTCAGCTCTGCAGGCCCATTTTTTGATCTACCACACAGTTAAGGGAGTGTTTATTTTTATCCTTTTCTCCAGTGTCAGGCCCATAATAAATTCTGCATTAGTTTTCTGGACAGTTTTCTTAAAATACTTTTGGTCTTAAAATTATTTTATTCATTTTTGGTATTGGACATTGTGGCATATTGATTAACACTCCTTATTCAGGATGTTGTGAGTTGAGCCTTGGCCTAAAGGGCAGCTATCCTGATGGAGATTTCTTCATGATGTTCCCAGGTTCTTCAAGCAAATGCTGTAGTACCAAATAATGGCCTACTACTACTTCCACATCCATTCCCTTACAGATGAGATGATATTTTTTTAAAAATAAATAAAGTTTCTAGTTTTAGACCAAGCATAACAGTTCAGTATAGCACTCCTGCTTTGTATTCAGGAGATCCTATTTTGTCTGTTCTTGGCTTGAAGGCTAGATAACCGTGGGTTTCTTGAAACCCTGTAAGCAGATTCTGGGATAGTGCTTTAAGGTAATAATGACTGTTTCCTAAGTCTCTTTTCCTACTTCAGCAATTCAGAATTCACAATTTAGAAAATCTGTGTAAAATAAGAAACTAATTTCTTGTTTTAGATGTTAGTATGAATGCCCTATATGCAGAAGGAAAGGGTAAAGTTTTCCAACAGATGGTGGCCTGGCTAAGTTCAGGGGATGAAGATTTGCAGATTACTGGTGTTCTTGCAATGGGAAACTTTGCTAGAACAGGTACGTATAAACGCAAACAGGAAACAGAAACCAACCTGATGTATGTTTTGAGAACTCAGACCTTCCATTAGAATGATGGAATAGTAAGTGAAATAAATTATGTCCACATTTCCCACATTTTTCCTTAATCACTATTTGCTATTGTCCAACCAGTTCTCATTTATGAATATGGCTGTCTTTTGGGTTGTAGTGCCATGTAGTCTGGTAGGCATTTACAGGCAATTAACTCTGATGATGGAGGCAGCAAGAACCTTTGAAATGGTAAACTTCTACCAGACTACATGCTGCTACAACCCAGAAGACAGCCATCTTTGTGTTCTGTCATGAGAACCTCAAATCCTACTTAATTTCTCATTTAATTCTAAATTACTTGACATAGTGTTATTGCTCATGATTCAGGGATTTCTTGAGAACAGCTTCCAGTTATTCAACTGATCAAGAAGTCTGTTGCTTTTATGGAACTCAAAGGTTCATCATGTTCACAAAAACTTGCAAGTCCAGTCTAAACCTTCACACTCTGTTTAAGATCCTGATTATATTGTTCTTTTGGGTTTTGACACCATGTAGTCTTATATGTAGATACCAGAATTTTGGAGAAATATACTGTCTCCATCTTCATGGCTTAAGTGGCAATGCTGGGAAGCATATTTGTAACATCCTGCTACTGGACTCTACCCTGGGGTGGTTAAATTCTGGGACACCCTTACATCCCATTCTGCTAAGATTAATTTTAATATTATCCTCTCATCCACACCTGTCTCCCAACAGGTTTTTTAATATTATCCTCCCCTGTGTTTAGGTTTTATGCTGAACTTTTTTGACTAATATTTTGTATGTATTTCTCATTTCTTCCTTGATGTTATTAAACAGAGTAATGTAATAATGACTTTCATCAGATAAACACTGCATTCAGATGGTAGAAGCTGGCGTTAGCAAGAAACTTTTAGCACTTGTTGAGAAGAATAACAAACCATCAGGAGACATACGACTGCAACATGCTCTTCTCAGTGCCCTCAGGTATGTTGCCGTAACTCATACATTAGTCATTGTCATTTTATTGTGGTTGTCTTTACTGAATAATGATTTTTGAAGTGAGATTTCTAGTTCTTATAGCAGTTAGTATGAAGATGGTTGTCTTCTGGTCTGTTGTGCCATATTATGTGATAGATGTTGGTTAATGTTTCAGAGGAGCCTACTGCCTCTATCATCAGGGCAGTGATCACCCTAGTGATGGAGGCAGTAAGCTCCTCTGAAATGTCTATCAATATCTACCAAACTACATGGCACAACCTCCCAGAAGACAGCTATCTACAATTAGGGTGCTATCCAATAGGGAGCAACCACATGGTTCAGGATAAAAGTAGATGAATGCTGAGGGTTACCATGTGGTGTAAGAGGAGAGAGGATGGAGAGAGTAGAGAGTGACCGTGTGGTTCAGGAGATGAGGTGGAGAAAAATAACTTCTGTGCATTCGCATTGTTCAGGAATAGAGGTGATGAAAAAGTTGTGAAAGTAGGATGATAAGGCAGTATCAGGAAGAAGTGAAAGAGGAAGGATTATAACAAAATAGTGAAGAGAAGAAATAAAAGCAGAAATGCAAAACCAAACATGCAAGCACAGATTGATGTGTGTCTGCACAGGTAATGTTCAGTGGAGAAGGTAGTCAAATTAAGTCTTGGAAGAAAAGAGATGAAGCCAGGCTTTACATAGTCTGAATCCATCTATAGGGTTGAAGTTATGGAGTTGTTTTGTAATTTCATTTACTTCCCTGGTGGTGAGATCCCAACATGTATGTATTTACAGGAATTTGGTGATACCACGTCAAAACAAAGCCATGGTGTTGGAAGATGGCTTAGTGGATGCTGTGTATCCTATGCTGGCCATCCCTACCTTTCCTGTTGTGTTCAAGTTACTTGGCACTCTACGTATGGTCATTGATGGGCAGGGTGAGTAATATGCTATCACAGACTCAGAACCATTCTATGTCAAGATTCCATTTTTCTGCTTCAGATTTAGGAAGTGTATGTCACATCTCACTGTATAATTTTACTTGCAGAAAGTGCAGCTTGTAAACTTGGGCGGAAGAAAGATCTTGTCACCAGTTTAGTGACTTGGTGTGGGACTGAGGATCACCCTGGTGTACAGGGAGAAGCTAATCGATTATTGGCATGGCTCATAAAAAACAGCAAGTATGTCAGTCGATTATGTGCAAGGCACTAATAATTCCATGGCACAGCTTTGTTTGTTTATTGTGTTGTCTCATTCAAATTAATATGTAATTTTTATGATTTAGTCTCCTGGTCCATTTGTATAACTGTTTTCCATACATCTGTTTCCCTTGTCAAGACATGTTGAATATAAAGAAGTGAAAAAAGAAGGAAAATTCATATTTTATTTTAGGCGATGCTAAGCAGCTGATTTACATTTCTTAATCTTATCCTTTTGGGAAACCTAATGTATGTTCTGCACAATAAGTGTAAGAGAGAAAACATTTTGAAACTTGAGGTATGTTAAGTTTCTTTTAGTACTTGATGGTATTTTCAGTTTAACAATATCATGATTTATCTCATCTGCTTTACAAAATATTTATAAGATAATAAACTTGTCACTTGTTTTGTATGACTGTGGAATGTGGTTCCTTACTTCCAGAGCAAAACGTGATTGAAGTTTCTGAAAATAGAATTCTCACAAAAATATTTTCACATAGAATGAATGGAGTGAGCAATATTACATAAGGTGGAACATTGTGATTTATACAGATCACCAAATATTATTAGTGTTGTGAAGTGAAGGAGGTTGTAATGGGCTGGGCTTGTGACTTGGATAACAAACAGAAGAAGAGCATACAACATTCTGATGCGAAATATCTTGCAAAGTTACCACTCATACGATCGAAAAGGAGATGGTTGTATAGCACTATGATGGAACTGAGGATAATTAGTTTATGAAGATGAGAGATGGATGGAAGTACCTGGAGATTGTGTAAAATGGTTGGCATAGATTTTATCAGTGTTAGACCTTATAGTTCTGCTTCCAGACTGTTGGTCAGTTATATCTTCATTACTGTATTTTGGACGTCTAAGAAAGAATGAGTCTATGTGTGAACAAGAGCCCTTAGATACATTTACATGGTAGAACTAGATACTTTGCCCATATGGTGGACATTTTAATTGAGTATATGCCACTGTTGCACTACCAAAAATTATCTAATTTTTTTCTGAATTTCAGGGATCAAGAAGTTTTAACGACAATTCTAGAAAGTGGAGCAGTTCCATATCTTGTAGATATGCTCATTGCAGAACATGCTGTTATGCAGAATGAAGCCCTTCTTGCACTTACATTGCTTGTAACGATGAGACTGACTGATGCTGAAGCAAATCTTCTTGAAGCTAAGATTGGTGACAAATTAACCACATTGCTTAATGACTTTGGACCATCACTGACATGTGAAATGGTACAAAACATCTTGTCATTAGTTGACCAGTTGACAAAATCAGGTGAGATTTTTGGCTTAATGTATAATTTTTGTATTATATCCATCTTGAATTATATAGGATTAGGCTTAATTTTCTGTTCATAGAACTTTGAGGTGCCATTCATGTCTCAACTTTCTCTGCATGTGCCTGAAATCTGTTCATCACAGTAGTTTAAATTACAATGCCTATTTTGATGACTTCTTTGCTTTATTCTATATATGTTATATAGACAATTATTTTGTTGTTCCTTAAGTTTATAAATAAAATGTGGAACTTCATTTCCTCATTCTCATGCACACAAATTATTGAATTCAAAGTACCTTAACTTCAAACATAGAATTGTAAATATAAATGTGAATATTTAGTTTAGGATAGAATCTTATTCAGACCTGCAGTTTCATGTAGACAAGCTTGGCTAACTGGTAGAACATGTGACTTCTTATTTGTTCCTAATCTTGTTCAGCGCTTTGTTATCCTACCAAAGATTTTCTCAGGTTTTGTTCAGAGAGGCAAATTATTTCTCCAGAAAAGGCTACAACCAACTTCCTTTTTGTTGTTTCCCTTTCAATGTGTAGGCTGGTATAGTTGTAACATCTAGACTTGGATTCAGGTAGTATGCAGTTAGAATCTTATTTGAATTACCAGATATCCAATTTTCAGTTCACCTGTACACTGTTGTTTCTGTTTCCAGGTGTCCTGCTGTATCATCTTGTTAATTCTGGTGTAAGTAGAGCACTGTCTAAGCTTTCTTCTGAAGAGAATGTTACCAGTATCAATGATCAGATAACTCAGTTGACCTCTATGCTTGATTCTGGCTGAATTTGGAGTTTGTTTCTTGTTTAGTTACTTGCTGCAGAATTAATTTCTTTCTGTATCTCTTGTGATCTCATTATCTCAGTGTTTCATCTACTCATTTGAGAATTATCTTTTAATGATGTCTTGCTTGTGTCCAACTGTTTAAAGCAATTTGCTATTTACCTAAACTACCTTCAGCTTTAAAGCCTACTAATTTTTTAATCAACTTGTACACACACACACACACATATATAAATATAAAGTATTTATAATTAATATAAATATTATAATCACCTACATACATTTATACATAATGCATTAATAATGTATTGCTTTTTATTCCTTTAGTATTTATGTGCTATATTCGTTTAATCTTAATATGCTAATTCATTTGTTCA